CGATTCTTTGTTAAAAGTTATGTTTGGTTTAGTAGTAGAATTGGTTTAGAGAAAATGGTTCATTTTTTGTAAGTGTTAATTTGGTGGTAGTAAGCATGTGTGTGTGAATGTGTGGTTGTGCGTGTGCGTGTGTTTGTGTATATATTTACGAAACAGGCAAATTTAATTTTTATAAATAACTGATGCAACAGTTTAAAAGTTTATTACCTCGTTTTTGATAAAGTTTACACTTTTTTATTCAACCAAATTTGAATTTGTACCAGATGTTTTGTCTGCCTATACAGATGTATTCCGTATTGATGCTATCAAAATCTTCTTTAATCTTTTTTCAATATTTTACCGCACGACATTATGTCTTGCACCTGCTTTTGCCGTCCACCTATATTGACCACGCACCTATATTGACCACTCACCTATATTGAACATCCACCTATATTGACCATCCAACTATATTGACCATCCAACTATATTGACCACACACCTATATTGACCCTCCACCTATATTGAACATCCACCTATATTGACCATCCAACTATATTGACCACACACCTATATTGACCCTCCACCTATATTGAACATCCAACTATATTGACCACACACCTATATTGACCACACATCTATATTGAACATCCAACTATATTGACCACTCATCTATATTGACCACACATCTATATTGAACATCCAACTATATTGACCACCCATCTATATTGACCACTCACCTATATTGACCACTCACCTTTATTGACCACTCACCTATATTGACCATCCACCTATATTGACCACTCACCTATATTGACCATCCACCTATATTGACCACCCACCTACATTGACCATCCACCTATATTGACGGTCCATGTATGATCTACTCGGCTGTTTACGTTTTGCCCTTGATATAGCTGCCTACCACTCCAACTGGAGTTATCGTTCGTGTCTCGTAATATTTTACTCTTGAAACTATCCATGTTTGTGTTTAAAAAATTAAAATAACAAACAATTTTTCTCCTAATGCTGTATGTTAATAATCACATTCAGATCAATGGCATGGGAGTAATTAATGTCACGTGTTTTCTGTACAATATTTGTGTGTGCTGGGCGCAATATGCACATCACTTTAAAAAAAAGTTGTTTTTTTTAGCAATTATGTGGATGGTGACTTGCTACAGCCTAGCACTTAAATGGGGCTACAACCTAGGACTTAAATGGGGCTACAACCTAGGACTTAAATGGGGCTACAGCCTAGGACTTAAATGGGGCTACAGCATAGCAATTAAATACGGCTTAAATGGGCTACAACCTAGCACTTAAATAGGGCTACATCCAAGCTCGGAAATGGAACTACCTACCACCTAGCAGCTGACTGATGCTACCACCTAGCAGCTAGCTGAGGCTACCACCTAGCAGCTGACTGATGCTACCACCTAGCAGCTAGCTGAGGCTACCACCTAGCAGCTGACTGATGCTACCACCTAGCAGCTAGCTGAGGCTACCACCTAGCAGCTGACTGATGCTACCACCTAGCAGCTAGCTGAGGCTACCACCTAGCAGCTGACTGATGCTACCACCTAGCAGGCGACTGATGCTACCACCTAGCAGGTGACTGATGCTACCACCTAGCAGCGGGCTGATGCTACCACCTAGCAGCTGGCTGATGCTACCACCTAGCAGGTGACTGACACTACCATTTAGCAGCTGACTGATGCTACCACCTAGCAGCTGACTGATGCTACCACCTAGCAGCTGACTGATGCTACCACCTAGCAGCTGGCTGATGCTACCACCTAGCAGGTGACTGACACTACCATTTAGCAGCTGACTGATGCTACCACCTAGCAGCTGACTGATGCTACCACCTAGCAGCTGCCTGAGGCTACCACCTAGCAGCTGACTTAGGCTAGCATCTAGCAGTTGACTGAGGCTACCACCTAGCAGCTGACTGATGCTACCACCTAGCAGCTGCCTGAGGCTACCACCTAGCAGCTGACTTAGGCTAGCATCTAGCAGTTGACTGAGGCTACCACCTAGCAGCTGACTGACACTACCATTTAGCAGCGGACTGATGCTACCACCTAGCAGCGGACTGAGGCTACCACCTAGCAGCTGCCTGAGGCTACCACCTAGCAGCTGACTTAGGCTAGCATCTAGCAGCTGACTGAGGCTACCACCTAGCAGCTGACTGATGCTACCACCTAGCAGCGGACTGAGGCTACCACCTAGCAGCTGACTGACACTACCATTTAGCAGCTGACTGAGGCTACCACCTAGCAGCGGACTGAGGCTACCACCTAGCAGCGGACTGATGCTACCACCTAGCAGCTGACTGAGGCTACCACCTAGCAGCGGACTGATGCTACCATCTAGCAGCTGACTGAGGCTACCACCTAGCAGCGGACTGAGGCTACCACCTAGCAGCTGACTGATGCTACCACCTAGCAGCGGACTGAGGCTACCACCTAGCAGCGGACTGATGCTACCATCTAGCAGCTGACTGAGGCTACCACCTAGCAGCTGACTTGGGCTACCATTTAGCAGTGGACTGATGCTACCATCTAGCAGCGGACTGATGCTACCACCTAGCAGCGGACTGATGCTACCACCTAGCAGCGGACTGATGCTACCACCTAGCAGCGGACTGATGCTACCATTTAGCAGCTGACTGATGCTACCATTTAGCAGCTGACTGATGCTACCACCTTGCAGCTGAATGAGGCTACCATCTAATTAAACTATCAACCTGAAAACAACGACCACAGCCAACAGTCCCTACTGCTAGTACAACATCCACACAGCCATAAAGACGACAGTAAAATAATAAAAACTCGCACAATTGCAGTAAAACGTGTAGGCCTAGAGGCAATAAATTCTCAATTGGTTCTACTGTTATATTTAACAGTCAAGCTGTAGAATCAGCTAGGACGGTAAGTCCAGGATTCAAATGCTGCTAGCAATGGTTGAAGAGTTTACCGACTAGTAAGGCTACTCTAGTTACACCGAGTCATCATTTTCAGCTTAAAAATAAATAATTTTATTATACATTTACTTTATCTGATAATTTTTTGTGTGGGACGATTCCCCACTGACAAGGTCGAATGTCTGAGGTCAGGCTGACATTAGTTCAAGTATGCTAGTTTTTGGCCACAGGTTCGTCTTTGTATAGCCAATCGTATATTGATCTTAACAGTTGTCATGGTAACTGCAGTAGTTATAGATCCTCTGGGTATTGAAGCAGACTACAATTAAGTAAAAGATGATTTAAACAGGGGCAGGCTGGGTGGGGTGAAGGTCAAGTAAAACGTTCCATCAAGATTAAGTAAGCAATGTATGGAGCCAGTGGGATTTGATCCCCGTCATCGGAACCACGTGATGGCTACACGAGGGGGGTGTTCCAATTGTTACTCTACAAGAATGAGGTAAGAAGAAAAAAGATCTTTCAGTTGTTAGGCTACATGGGGGTGAGGGGAGACAGACCTTAAATTGTTGAGATAGAAGGAGGAAGAGGAAGAAGAAAACCTTCAAGACGTGAGCTTACACGAGAGGGGGGGGGGGGGGCAGCACGAAGTCCTTCATCAAAATACACATATAGCGTGTTGCATTGTTAACGATGGAGTGATTGGGGGAGGGAGGGGCCAGAGAATTTCGTATTGAGGTGTAGCTTTCTGTAAAAGGACTCACGCAACTATTGTAAAACTGTTCAAGAAATATTAACTAAGAATATTTAACCCATTTGATAGTAAGTGGAAAAAAGTCGCACGGAAAAGTTAAAGAGAAAATCACAAGTTCCAATGGAAAAATAATATTTTCAGAAGAGTTACAGAATTATTTACCGTAGCCATGGTAACATAGCATTATGCATGTATGAGTATCATAAAACAAATCCATTGATAGACTATAAATCCAGGACACTATCAGATAAACGAAATTATAATTTCAAATTTGTTTTTATCTGTGAATATTTTCCCATTCAGTCCGTTCGATACCACGTGTACATACTTTTACGAATGATTTGCCATTGATTCAGTACAAAAATGACACGCACAACTTCCATTGAAGAATCAATTCTTCAAGCGGATCAAGGATGAACTGAATTTAGCTGATTAATTTATTCAATAAACCGGGAGTGATCTCCCCTAAACTTTCTCGAATATTCTTACATGAAACAACAGGGGATGGGAACTCGGGATATAGACATGATTTTTAATCCATTTTAAATACTTAAACTTTTTAAAATAGAATAAAATCTCGTCGAAAAAAGAATTGCACAGCAAGTGAACGCCAAATTAAATGTTCATAATAGTGCGGAATATTATAAGTACCAATATTCACTTTAAGGGGAAAAAGATCGTGTGCAACGTATATTTTGGGTCAGCGGTGTTCTTAAAGTCTTATATCAGGATACCTGTATTTTACAAAATGACTACGCGGCAGTTAAAAACTACCGCTTAGAGGTTACATAGATTAGTACTTTATAAATTCATATGCGTTTTTTGAGAAATCGGAAATCGCGAAAATTTTTACTTCCGGTCATCGGAAATTACTCAAAATTTGACAGAAGGCGGAGAATTAGATCTTTTACTTACATTTATCTATCTGAAGTTATAGGCTTTTGAAAAATTCAAAGTAGAAAAAGTTCCACTTCCGGAAATCGCACAAAAGTTGTAACGGATCTACGATTTTGATATAATACTTATATATGAAATTTCATCAACCTAACTGTAACGGTGCTCAAGTATTCGTGTTTACAGACACACACACAGACACACACACATACACACACAGACATACGGACAAGATTGCAAAACTAAGTTTTTCTGACTCAGGGAGGTGTAAAACGTCGAAATTTGTAAAAATCTCGATTTTTTTTTTTTGCACGATTACAAGACTTTCTCTATATTTTGTTTGTACGAGAAAGTAAAAATAACTTGACTTTTAAGTGTAACAATGGTCACTCAAGAGCATGCCCCCTGACCCTCCCAACTCAGCCATGAAAGAGAAACGACCCTGACCTTCCTGGTTCCCATGTCCTCCACGAAGCACTCCAGCTTGGCCATCTGACCTTCCTTGAAGGTCACCCGTTCAGGTGATTCGCGGAACCTGGGCTGGGGGATGTTGATGGTGGTCGTCTCATTAGGGACTGTATTCCAGATCTGTCTCCGTCTGGTGTGGGTTTCTGGCAACAGAGGAAGGCAGCAGATAATGGTGTGGGTTTCTGGCAACAGAGGAAGGCAGCAGATAATGGTGTGGGTTTCTGGCAACAGAGGAGGGCAGCAGATAATGGTGTGGGTTTCTGGCAACAGAGGAAGGCAGCAGATAATGGTGTGAGTTTCTGGCAACAGAGGAGGGCAGCAGATAATGGTGTGGGTTTCTGGCAACAGAGGAAGGCAGCAGATAATGGTGTGGGTTTCTGGCAACAGAGGAGGGCAGCAGATAATGGACAGTGATGACGTGTAAGTTTCTGGCAACAGAGGAAGGCAGCAGATAATGGTGTGAGTTTTTGGCAACAGAGGAAGGCAGCAGATAATGGACAGTGATGACGTGTAATATAAATAAGACAAAAACGGTCAACACAATATTGAAATAAGTAAAGGACCGAGGCATGGACAAATATAGGTAAATAATGGACAATATAGACAACATACTAATCGGCAAGTTATAGAGAGCAATCAACAAAATACGTGATTAAAGTTAATAGATCTGTTGGTTCATGTCCGTTTCAGGCTAAAAGAAATATATAAAAAATTGTAACAGAACATTTCTCTTGTTGATCACGTTTTCTTTATGTCTCGCAAAAATATACGTCGATTTACACAATTTTTGGAAAAAAACGTATTGTCACAAAAGTCATGTTCACAAATTAACTAAAGTCATATCCACAAGTCATGAGTAGCTACCTAATGTTAATATTAACTAATTTTACACTAGCTTACACATACAAAACTGGTTCTATAGTGGCATATCTGCATACATTGAGAACATTTTATAGCGTTCTCTTTTAATGATCAAGGGGCATAACTACTCTGTTTACGATTCTTGGGAAAAGGGAAGCTACTATAGATATTGCGGCAGGGGACACGACTACAATAAAACGAAAATCAAAAGAGCATCATGGGACAAACCTCAACTCATCAAATCTCAAAATCGATACTAATATAATCAGAAAGAATCGATCTGTAGCGTCACGGCAACAACTCAACTTTTGGTTTGCCAGATTTTTGTTGACGTTAGAAGATGGATCACACCCCATGCCAGGCGGCCTTTGTAAAGGACGGTCTGTTTACGCTTGTTCGAGCCGCCACAAATGGGAACAAAACTCGCCCCCTTCCTTCCATTTGTTTGTTCTACCCCAGCAGACGTGAGCCGTTGTCCGCTTAGTTCGGCGAGTCCCAGACTTCTGGCTTCGGAGATTGACTGAGAGAATCAAAGTCCCCCACTCTTTTGCAGTCAGAAATTCCTGTTGACTCAGCATTTTCGGCAGCCAGATTTTGAAGGAAGCGCACAAGATGAGACTTGGGTCATGAGTAAACACAGTGCTCACGTTCAATGCACGAGCTATGGTCACGAGCTATAAGATTGCTAGTCTCGGGGCATGACCCGTGATACGGAGATAAATATTCGGGAGGGGGTGGGGCGGAGAAAGAAGATGGATGATGAACTGAATGAATAGAAGATGGTTTGGGCTGACACTAATGTCGCGGGTTGCGTTACACTTCAGTCAGGTACTATTTTATCATCAATAGTACTTAGGTTCTATTTATAATCGTGACTTTTCCGTAAAGTAATAGACAGTCTAGATAGACACGAGAGGAAGGTATTTGAAGTGTCAGTAAGTATATGAAGATAACGCGGTATAAAGCCTGACACTGACAAAACCTAACGAGTGCTGACAGTTGGTGGCCGAGTGCACGGACCAGGCATTGTGGGGCTGGTCATTAGTAAATGGAATAAAGTCAGGCACTGTGGTAGAACCGTTGCTGGCTCATTAGGTGATGGCAACAATTTTAATAGGGGAAATACAGGGGGGATGGAAGGATGGTGGAAACAAGTGATCTAACTACGTGTACTGTTGTAAGTTATATAGATCAGTCTAAGTTTAGATTTTGGGAATCCCCGAATGAATACGGATGATACTAAACTCAAAAGTGGTAGAGAAATAGATGGCTGGGGAGTTTGTGTGTTGTGTGGGGTGGTGGGGTGGTGGGGGGAAAAGGTGAGCGAGTGTATGGGGGTGGGGTGTGTATTCCAGGACAGGGTAATTCTTGTCGCAAACCACAAGCCATTTGACAATAGTCGAATTGCCTTTAGTACCTAATGGCCTCAGGCACTACCTTCAGAAAACTACTAATTGACTTTTTCAAGATTTTATCTAAAACGTTATGTAGTAACTATATTTATTTAAAACTAATAGTCACTCAGTCATGTTATGAAACATATAATAGATAATATCTTTAAAGCTGTAATCGGATACTAGTGACGGAACATTATCTACTAGCTGGAGGGGATGCAGTTGAACGAAAAGCGAGAACGTAAGGTGGTACAACTGATAGAACAGCCAGTAACAGCGTCCAGCAGTGGGAGGAGAAACAGTAAAGTAACAGCATGTGACACCTCTCGCCCCACCCCTCATTTTTCCACGTTTGTTATGGCTCTGTATGTCGTTATTGGGGGGGGGGGGGGAGGAGAGAGAGAGAGAAGACATAAACATCGGTTTGAGGTCGGCAGAAAAAAATATGTTGAAATGAGTTTCTGGCGATTAATTGGTGCTTTAATTATAGGCAGCACGTGCAGTGATCGATACCTGGTAATTAAGGAATCGAATTACATTTAGCAGCTTCTCTGTGGGGGGTGGGGTGTAGACACGCAAACAGGGGGGGGGGGGGTGATGGGAGTACAGGTAGGTGCGATGACGTGACTGCAGGTAGATGGTCATGACGAGGTGATAGATTTTCTATATGGGCTACGCTGTCTTGATTAGGGGTTTGCTGTCCTGAATTGGGGGGGGGGGGGGGGTAGGCTCGTTTCTAGGGGATATGGAGCTGTCTACCTAACAAAAGGTTTAGACCTGAATAAAATTGTAAATCACCCGAACAATGGGAAAAATCTGGCCCTACACCTGGCCGTTATTTAGTACTTGTCAACCAAATGTTTACCTACCAGCCTCGATCTGGATGGACCAACCCACCTGGGGACTATCTGGGGTGATGGATAACCCGGATACCGTTACAAATCATCGGATGGCGTTGTTCCTCCCCTTATCAGGACCCCAACAGTCATTTGTTATTAGCTTTGTTTTCTGGGGAAGATTCTAAACCTTCCAGACGGCCTAAGTGGCCCATACAGAACGCCGACCCCACCTCCTACCCCCCCCCCCCCCCCCCCCCCCCAGACTGTTTAGCACCGGGATCAAAGCCCAGCAGACGATTTATGTACGGGGAACATCCACAACACGCGCCGTTAACAACAGAAGTGAATTAACAGACGGTATCAGGCTCGTGAACAACGTCATCAATTTCGGGGTTTTATGATCGTAAATGACGGTGGACATTAGCAGTAAACTGGGAGCCACTTTATATGTACACACACATATATTTTTATATAATATGGTCTATATACTGGTATATATATATATATATATATATATATATATATATATATATATATATATATATATGTATATGCACCTCATTAAGAATATATAATTCGACAACTCAAAATCAGTGCTAGACATGCTGAAAGACTTTGATTCACCGGTGGAAGTTGGTGGAATTAAAAAAACTCTTTAACTGTAGCATAATGTAAAGCTCATAAGGATGATCTACTGCCCATTGAAGACACTGTCTTAATGATATACAAGGCCCACTGAAGACACTGTCTTAATGGTACACACGGTCCACTGAAGACACTGTCTTAATGGTACACACGGCACACTGAAGACACTGTCTTAATGGTACACACGGCCCACTGAAGACAGTCTTGAGGAACACAAGTAGTTCTCTTCCAAAGATGTCTCACGTCAAACACAACAACATTTTATCTTTGTCGTCGGTGGGGGGTGGGGGCTTCACGTAACACAAAGCTTCTTATACTACTTAGAACGTGATCATAAATGCGTAAAATAACCGGAATGATTTTCTGTACATGATGTAAGTCAAGCTTCCCTTTCAGACCTAAAGATCCACAGGGCAGATGTTTGTGGTCGGCACTATGCCCAAATGCTTTTGTTTTCCCCAACATGTGTCAGGTACCCATAAGAGCTGGGTGGACTCAGGGACGAAAAAGTCCCGAGAATGGACCGACATCCGAACACGAGGTCTTTGGGTTAGCAGCCGAACGCTATCATTCGACCACGCCGTTCCTGTACTGTGGGCAACAAAACTTTCACGTTCTTGATCTATACCAAGTCACGTGGTTACTCAGCTGTCGTGTCGAGTTGACCTGCACTAAAACAAGCGGGAGCCGTGTAAGTCACGTGTCAAACCACTCGCCTCCACAGCCAGTAATCCATGGCAAATGTTGAATAAATATTTGCTTGCCAACTCTTGTTGTATGTACTGTTTTAGATGCATGCGACGTGTGTTTTGTATGACATTAATGAGACACGTATGTCTGTATGACCATGAACATATGTGTCGCATGAGTGGCATATACACAGGGTATAAGGCCGTTACGTGGTATATATGTGGACAGGATGGCGGAAGTGAGACTCACATATGGGCAATATGGCGATTAGTGAGACTAGTCCTGGTAATGGACAGACTGGTGGAAAAGAGACGCGGAGACTATAAGTAGCAAAAGTAAAACGCCTTCACTGATGTGGATAGTATGGCAAAAGTGAGACTAGTTCAGGTATATGGGCAGTTTGTTAAAAGTGAAACAAGGTCACACATATGAACAATATGGCAGAGGTGAGACTGTTACACATTTGGGCGACAGTGAGACTAATTCCGGTACGTGGGCAGTTTGGTGAAACTGAGACTTAGTACAGCACATAGTACAACATATGGGTAATGTGGCTCTAGTGAGACTAGTTTCGGTATGTTGGTGAAACAGACTTAGTACAACACATGGTACAACATATGGGTAATGTGGCTGTAGTGAGACTAGTTTCGGTATGTTGGTGAAACTGAGACTTAGTACAACACATAGTTCAACATATGGGTAATGTGGCTCTAG